AGTTCACACTTTTAAATTTTCTGACTTTAGTTGTACACCTAGACAAACCTTAGACATTCTCTAGTTCGAAATAATTTTCATGTTCTTAATCATTCTAAAACCTTTGAAAACTACTTAATAGTGTTTATATTTGGTTTCAACGATTATAGCCAAACACGATGTTAGCCATTGTTGAACTTAGAATTTGAGAAATTTAGCGAGGAATACAAGTTATCTTTTTTGTTTAATCTAGCGTTGTTGCACAATTTTCCTCTCTTTTTTTACTAAAGTTTAAAAGTAAAAAAAAAAAAACTAATTATTAATATCCCTTATACCTTATATTTATAAAATTGTATATATTTTTATTCGTTTCTAAACCTAGTATTTTAATTTGTACAGTGTACAAGTTAAATATTTATTATATATAATTTAAATTTATAATATCCACCAACGTCAGCAACATTTGTGATGTCAGTGGCTTCTAATCCCTCTTTAGAGGCATCAATGCAAACTTTTGCACCATATCTCCATGGCACTGCTTTATTATCCTTGTAGGGAAAGATTTTGGTACTTGTATTGTGATAGGCTTTGGTCTGTCAACATTCAAAATGTTCTTACCCTTGGTATAATGGACAACCAGGGGTTTTGGGCAACTTACATTTGAATCCACAGCCCCCACATGAAATTCAAAATAGCCGACCTGTATAAGTTGCTTTTCCATTAAATCTTGTAGAATTTGTTTAAACTCGTCACATTCATCAATCTTGTGACTATTACCAGGATGCAATCCACACCCCTCATCTTTACCATGACTTCCTTCCAACATCCCAAACTTACACATCTCCTTAAAAATGAGGTTTAAGGGAGTTTTTACATCCTTCACTGTCCTTATCATGAACTGTTCTTTATTCTCCTCAATAGAATTAACTGTAGGCCCTCCATGCCCTGGTAGAGGATTGTTCCCGATATTAGGATTATCCTCTTTGAAGTTTAACCACCCAGCCTTAATCAAATTTTGTACCTTAAATTTCAAAGCTCTACAATTCTCGAGGGAGTGACCAATAAATCCCGCATGATAGTCACATTTGGAATTAGCATCGTATCCCCTAGGATATGGTGGTTCTACGGGCTTCATTGGGCAAGGTACTACTAATGAATTTTGTAGTAGGAGAGGGAACAACTCAGTATAGGACATAGAGATAGGGTCAAACTCAATCGGTTTTCGGTCTTGGGTGTTTTGTGACCTCGTATGACTAGGATTTTGGTTCCATGGTTGGGTAGATTGAAGTGGTCGTATGGTAGGTGTTGTAGGTGAAGCTTGCAGAGCTTGATGGACAGGTTGTTGAGGATATGGTGCAATGGCGGTAATATTTGGGTAGGCCATGTGAGGGGTATAGAAATGAGGAGACTTTTTGTTGGGTATCCCAGGAGAGTTGAATGTCACTGCATTTGTGTCTCCTTCCTTCTTCTTTCCTGCACCACTTGAAAATTTTCTTGAACCAACTATTCCAACAAGGTCAACCGCAATCTTCCCACTCCTCATGCCATTCTCAATCCTTTCCCCGATGATGACTATATTAGAGAAATTTGATGAAATATTCCCAATCATCTTATAATAGAACGGTGCTCATAAAGTATCAATGAACAGGGCTACCGTTTCTCTATCAGACAAAGGAGGTTCCACTTTTGCTGCCACTTCTCTCCACCTCTGAGCATATTCCTTAAACGTTTCACCATCTTTTTTAGACATGTGTAATTTAAACCTATCTGGAATCATGTCAAGATTATATTTATATTGTTTAAGGAAAGCATCAGCTAAATCCTTCCAGGAGCGAATATAGGCCCGTTCAAGATGCATATACCAATTCAAAGTTGCCCCAATTAACGAATCCTGAAAACAATGAATAAGCAACTTATCATTGCGAGCATATGCTGCCATCTTTTTGCAATACATGGTTATGTGATTCTTTAGACAGCTTCACCGATATCATAACTGGAACCAATAGGCACTTTGAACTTTGAACAATGATTCTTTTAAGCACTTTGAACTTTGGGGGGAACTCTATATCTGGAACCAAACAAAGATCGACAGCTGTTTTGGGCAACTTACATTTGAATCCACAGCCCCCACATGAAATTCAAAATAGCCGACCTGTATAAGTTGCTTTTCCATTAAATCTTGTAGAATTTGTTTAAACTCGTCACATTCATCAATCTTGTGACTATTACCAGGATGCAATCCACACCCCTCATCTTTACCATGACTTCCTTCCAACATCCCAAACTTAATGTTGTAAAATAGCGTTGCAACAATTGTTAAGTTTAATCAACCCAAAGAAAATTGTTACTTTGGTCTGTTTTGTTATTGGAACAATAACTTTTCCTGTTTTACTTTTTTCTAATGTGATGATTGATTTAATGCAGACAGGTATAGAGTTGGTGCTAAATTCCTCAGATGAAGATTTTTTGGTTGTTATGCTATTCTCACTCACAAAACTGGCTTGCATTTTAATGTCTTTTACCTCGTATCAGGTATGTACATTTTTTTCCCCTACTATATGATTTTTAGCATCCTAGTTGAGTTTGAGGAATGAAAAGACCCACTTATTACTCCATCCTAGCTTTTATTTCTCTGTTTGAAAGATTTAGTGTGAATGTTTGCTGAGTGTCCTACTTTATCCCATCCCTTCAACTGGCAAAGTGATTCTTTTGTAGTTGCTATTAATATGAAAATTTTTAAACTAATTGCTAGATTTTTTACGTCAAAAAGGGGTTAGTAAACCAGTTAAAGCTTGTGATTAAATAAAGCATCATGCCACTAGCTTTTGCATGCACAGATGATCATCCCAATTCAAATATTTACTATGGTGCTTTCCTTGTGTAATATTTTTTTAAAACATTTGGATTCAGGTGGACTTTCTTCTTTCATTTCTCAATAGAGAAAGAACTTCACATGTACAAGAAACAGTGATAAGATGCTTGCACTATTTATTTGGAAAAGGACTGTGTGAGCACCTTGATAATTCAGGTCTAATCCATGGGTTATTTACCATAATGGAGGAACCTGAAAATTCATTGGTCATGCAATATAAAGCTCTAAAGGTTTTACACAAGGTTTGACTTTAGAACTTGGCGAAATGAAACTCATTTTTATGTTATGATTTATGAACTTATTTGACATGCATTTAATGATTTGTAGGTCCTTGTTTCTATTCCACCTTCTATGCTTCAGATTGAACCTCGTGAATTTGTTAAGCTTCTAAATGTTGTTGAGAACACAAGTCAATATCCAACTTCAAGGAAGAGCTGTTTGGCCATTCGTATTCTGGCAGATTTGTGCTGTAGGATGGAGGACAGAGCAGATATGGACAATGCTGTTTTCTGTTCTTCTTCTCTGCCATCACGAGTTATCTCCCTAATCAAAGATCATGTCAAACTTTTGGTGAGGCCATTGTTAGAAGGTTGTCAAAATATGAACTGTTCTTTATTCTCCTCAATAGAATTAACTGTAGGCCCTCCATGCCCTGGTAGAGGATTGTTCCCGATATTAGGATTATCCTCTTTGAAGTTTAACCACCCAGCCTTAATCAAATTTTGTACCTTAAATTTCAAAGCTCTACAATTCTCGAGGGAGTGACCAATAAATCCCGCATGATAGTCACATTTGGAATTAGCATCGTATCCCCTAGGATATGGTGGTTCTACGGGCTTCATTGGGCAAGGTACTACTAATGAATTTTGTAGTAGGAGAGGGAACAACTCAGTATAGGACATAGAGATAGGGTCAAACTCAATCGGTTTTCGGTCTTGGGTGTTTTGTGACCTCGTATGACTAGGATTTTGGTTCCATGGTTGGGTAGATTGAAGTGGTCGTATGGTAGGTGTTGTAGGTGAAGCTTGCAGAGCTTGATGGACAGGTTGTTGAGGATATGGTGCAATGGCGGTAATATTTGGGTAGGCCATGTGAGGGGTATAGAAATGAGGAGACTTTTTGTTGGGTATCCCAGGAGAGTTGAATGTCACTGCATTTGTGTCTCCTTCCTTCTTCTTTCCTGCACCACTTGAAAATTTTCTTGAACCAACTATTCCAACAAGGTCAACCGCAATCTTCCCACTCCTCATGCCATTCTCAATCCTTTCCCCGATGATGACTATATTAGAGAAATTTGATGAAATATTCCCAATCATCTTATAATAGAACGGTGCTCATAAAGTATCAATGAACAGGGCTACCGTTTCTCTATCAGACAAAGGAGGTTCCACTTTTGCTGCCACTTCTCTCCACCTCTGAGCATATTCCTTAAACGTTTCACCATCTTTTTTAGACATGTGTAATTTAAACCTATCTGGAATCATGTCAAGATTATATTTATATTGTTTAAGGAAAGCATCAGCTAAATCCTTCCAGGAGCGAATATAGGCCCGTTCAAGATGCATATACCAATTCAAAGTTGCCCCAATTAAAGAATCCTGAAAACAATGAATAAGCAACTTATCATTGCGAGCATATGCTGCCATCTTTTTGCAATACATGGTTATGTGATTCTTTAGACAGCTTCACCGATATCATAACTGGAACCAATAGGCACTTTGAACTTTGAACAATGATTCTTTTAAGCACTTTGAACTTTGGGGGGAACTCTATATCTGGAACCAAACAAAGATCGACAGCTTCACCAATATCATAACTACCTCCTTCCACAACCTTTAGCCTCTCTTCTAGCATTTTCAACTTCTCACTAGACCGATCATGCTCAATTTCAGAGGTTGGTTGATATCCCCCAGAAGTTTGGTGAGGATTCCCTTGGTTGATAAAATTAGAATTTTGGGGTTGGTAGGGAACTTGATGTTTATAAGAGGCTCATGAACTGTTCTTTATTCTCCTCAATAGAATTAACTGTAGGCCCTCCATGCCCTGGTAGAGGATTGTTCCCGATATTAGGATTATCCTCTTTGAAGTTTAACCACCCAGCCTTAATCAAATTTTGTACCTTAAATTTCAAAGCTCTACAATTCTCGAGGGAGTCACATTCATTTTCGGATTCCCAAGTACTTCTTCAAAGTAAGGTATGTATATTAATTATCCAGTGGTATTAGTATGAAATTTTTAATGAAGTTAAATTTTGAAATGCAATGATGCTAGCTTGGACAATTATTTTCTCCTTTGATATTGTCACTGTTTTGGATAAATTATTTCATATGAGAAGACATAGGTCCCCTCTATCTATTCCTTTTCAAGCCAGAATAAATTATATAGTTATAGACTATTGCTGATAGGAGTTGATGAGTTTGCCTTTGCCAACATTGTATTGGGATCTCAAGGAGTGGGTTTCCAATCATTATTAGTTTGCTAATATTTTAAGATGAATTGGTTTGCTTTTGCTGTTTGTTAAATAGATGTTTTCTTTTATAGTTCACCTTTGTGCATCTAGTACTCTCTGATTTTATTGTGCAGCCATATCTGTAAATCTTGAACTAGTGTGGGCCATTTCAGGTCTCATTTCAATCAAACCATGATTGAAAGTTGGCAATTTGGTGTATGTTTATGTTTCCAAACACTTAAAGTATACTGTGTGGGGCTTTATATATCTCTTTATAGACACACACACATAAGCTTTAACAAACTGCTAATGTTCTATTTGCATTATTTTTGCAGGCCATTCTTTGGGTCAGAGATTTTTGTCCACAATGAGGGCATTAAAATTGGGGTTGATATATCTGTTTTGCAAGGCTCCCACCTAACATTGAATATTTGTCTTCAATTGAAGAATGTGCCACCAAACTTCTTGGTTAAGTCAACTAAGTTGTATTGCATCCTTTGCTGCAGCACATCCTTCAATGTCCCATGTGGACAAACCATGGGTCAATCGCAATGTGGATATGAAGCTTGGAAAGATGATGAAATTGTTGAACTGAACCAGAAGTTGTTATGCCATGTCTTGGATAGTGTTGCAGGCAAGAGAAGAATTATGCATAACAGGGGCCATGGTAATAGTAGGGTTGTGGAGACATTTATGGATTTTAGACCTAATGAGAAAGAGCAGGGGTTTTCACATTGCTCACTTGATGTGTCTGACTTTCCTGAGGGTTCTTATAGAATCAAATGGCATAGCTGTTTGGTTGATAGTCAGGATTCCTATTGGAGTCTCCTTCCTTTGAACTCAGGGCCTGTATTTAATATAAAACCCACAGTGGATAGGATAGAATCTCATAAAGCATAGCCATTAAAATAAACATTACGCATATGAAGCATCTCACTTTAGTATTATGCTATTGTCCTTTTCATTTTCATTTATCTGATTAAGCATTATGCATATGAAGCATGCTCAGTTGCTGGCCAATTGATCCTGAACTCAAGGTTGGTCCATTATTTTACTTTTCTTTCTTTCAAATTTTCTGCTTCAATTTATGACTACAATTTCATCATGTTGCTGATGCTATCACCTATCTATTTAGCTGTTGTACAGTGAGCTTGGGCTCTTCCCACTTTGAGACTGATTTTTAAGCTGTTGTTCAGTAGCAATTTTTTCCTTTTTGGTTGGCTACTATTCAGGACCAAAATGCTCACCATTCAATTCTACAGCAACTTAGGTGAGTTCTTGATTTAAGCTAAGACAGCAGAAATTGAAGTTATTATATAATTTCTGTGGCACTTGTGGCTGTCTAGTTGGCTTTCACTGATTTTGTTTCATTGGATGTGAACCATGAAGGATGACTCTCTTTTGGAGATAAAAAAAAATTGATTTGGTAAATAAATGTGCCTTTGAAGTTGAGAAGATCTATCATGGAAAGCTGGTTGGATTTGACTACACAGCTAGTACATATGGACTATGGTAGACCACATCCATTTTGAACACGTCTTTCTGAATTTTACTGTATTTAAATTAAATTCAGTAGTTGCTAGCTTTCTTTCATTGAAAGTTGTGGAAAGGAAACTACCAATCATGCTTAAGGATTGAAATCTAAGCTTTGGAATCTGAGGGTTGAATTTTATTTTATTTTTTAATCAAATTAAACATGATTCTTCTATATAAAGCAAGTTTGTGTTAGTTGTTTTTATGCATATCTCAGAAAGGAGCAGAACACTAAAATTAGAGAAGAATGTGATTATCAATGATTCTTCTATATAAAACAAGTTTACCTTGGTTGTTAAAATTTTGCAATCACCTTTGTTGTTTCTAATAAAGATTGCTTAAACTTAGTAGCTATAATTTAGGCTATTACATGTAATTCTTTCCTTGAGTTCGTCCTACTTGCCCACTTATATATTCCTCATCAATATGACATCCACTATGTTATATTCCTTATCTATATGAATATCCACTTCTGAGTATCAAGAACTTCCATTCATGGTTATTTTCATACTGGCATCAGATGTTTTCCTCGAATCAACATAACTTCTTGTTTTTGAGTGGCAGTGCCTTGCAAATTAGAGAGGCACTTAGTTGCAGCTAGATGTTCAGAGTCGTCTTCATGAATAGCAAGAGGTATATTTGTTTTATCTTATAAATTTTTGGCTACTTAATCTTCATGTTCTCCAAACCTTGCAGGTTCATACTTCAGACTTGTTAGTTATATTCTCTTCACAATGTTCTCTGGCGTCAAATTTCTTTCTATTTACTTTACTGGTTCCAGACCCTGCTAATTTGTCATGTATCTTTAATTGATGTTTCAAAAAGGAATAATACGTTTTCTTTCTTCCTTTTTGATTGCTGAGTCTACGACTTGTATGAGCGATGGTTCCTCATCTTTCTTAAGGATTGAGAAACGGCGACAGTTTCCACATCTGAAACAATTGTTTGGCCTTGCATCTGCTGGCAGCCTGGCACTGTTGAGCTTGGAAATATAGTTGAGTCACCTGTTCTTCAAACTGCAACTTCAGTTGTTCCTTTAGGATGGAATGATGGACCTGGAGCGAAAGATAGAGAACCTCAAAATTGATATATTGGTTTTTGGGTTGCATCCATGTACACTTGTTCATGTTCAAGTGAATGGTAACTGGTATTGTCATTACCACATAAAACATCACCATTTATTGGTACAGTTTTATTGTAATAACTTTTCTAGGGATTAATTGAATCTGTTTAGATTTGTGGGTGGAATGTAGGGCAAGCCTAAGGCCTAAGGCAGAGCAAGAATTAGAAGTTACAATGGTCGTAAATATGGACTGTTAAATTCTAGAAAATATCAAGGTTTCTAGGATTTCATTAAGAAATCTGTTAGAGAAACAAGGAGTATATTGACTAGCATTCATTTATAGATTCTATGCATAAACATGCTTGTAATCCTGTACATTATCTTTATTCTATACTATACCATAAAGAGGATATTTCACTATTTCATATCAAGTTTTTCTGATGAGTCTAGTGTCTTAATTGGAGAAGAAAATTTGTCATTGGCCCATCACTCATCCCTACTTCTTTGAGGAGCTGTTATAAGATTCATATGGGCTCCATAGAGGTTTACATGGTTTGGATTTGGACCCGTAACGCCTGCTGCCAATCCCATAGTAAGCTTGTGATACCATATAAACTATAAAGAGTAGGAGAGAATCAACATAATGGGATTAACTATGTAGTACAGTACCTGTGGCCAGGCTCATACACTCTCAAAGCTTAATAACGTAATGCTAACTCTTAATTCTTGTCATTGACCGTACGTGTCCAGGAATACACTGATAAATCTTTGATGTAGGTGTCTCTGAACTCCTAAGTACCTAAGTTATTAATAAATAGATGATAATTTTATCTTGATTTATGTAACTATTTATATTGATCGTTAGGATTTGATTCTTGATGACAGATCAAACTCTTAACCTTTGTTTAGTCAACTATTTCAGCATTTTTGATTGTCGAGATAATTGTCCTTGAATCAATTGTATGTATACTAAAACTATCTATTTTCGCTATCTCGACAATTGAGAATATCGAGGTATCTATACGTGGTTAAGATAGTTGTGACTACATTAATGGTGTATCCAGGTTGTCTATTTCAACTGTCTCGGTGGCTAAGAACGTTGAGATAATTATATGTGGTGGGATAATTGTGACTAAATCAATGGTGTATCATTACTGTTTATCTCGATTGTCTCAGTGGTCGAGAATGTTGAGACGATTAAGAATTTTCTCCTATGAGTCCATTCCGGTATACAAGCCGAGATAGACAGCTTGCGTGTCCAATATTTGGTGGTGAAATGCATGCAATTTCTTGTCAAATGCATTATTATTGACTCCAACCAAAACCAAACCAAACTAACAAGGTGTGAGACATGCTTAATGGACCTATTCAAAAAGATACCTTGAGTTGGTGTCAAATATAAGCAAAATGGGGGCTTTTTGTCTCTATCTTTTCTCAAGATGACTCAGCAAATTGAAGTACTCAAACCAATATCTTTATTGAGACATGGCCACGCACACATCATAAAATCTTAGCTTCTTTCTTTCCCAACTCGAGTACTTTATTTATTCAATCACCGCCTTCATAATTTGGCATTCAAGTGTTTTCCAATTCAATAACCTAATATGCAATTTGCACACTAAAATTATGAAAGAAGTCTCAATTATAATACTCTATAGTGGATAGTGTCAAAGCATGTGTCACATTGGGATGTAAACATGGGTTATGTCCATATTTGAAATTTAATACACATAAGAAAGCACCACCTAGAACTCATATCTGCTGACAAATTATTAAGCAGTTAATATGGCCTCGATTAGGAGTCTAAATAAATAGAGCTATACATGAAATTTTTAACCTCAATTTATTAGATATTTGTTTAAATTTGTTGGTTTAATTAAATAAATAGTTCAAAAATTTACTTAACGTTAATAGCATGTGAATAGCTCGTCTATTTAACTTTATAATGGGAACTTCATTGTCCTTTGTTACTTATATATTTATTATGAAAAATATGTAAACCTTGTCAAGTGTTAGAATTAATTTTTGAACTATCTTTTTGTAGTAGTTAAGAAATTATTTTTATTTTCTGGATTATGAAAATATAAAAGTCTAAAATATTTGAATGTTATCTGCCACAAGTTTAGTGCATTATATTTAGATTATTTTATCGTATTAGATACTAAAAGAAGTTAAAAATTAATTTTTGAGTTTATTTTATAAAACTAAAAATAATTAATTTATAAATAAATTAAACAAATCAATTTCAAGTCTTATGTTTTTTTAAATAAATTAAACTCAAGGTTTTAATTGGACTCATTTAATTAATTAACCTAAAGTTGCGATCAAAATTTTTTATAAACTAAGTCTGAACTTTAAGTGGACTTTTTATATAATTATTTTCCTCCCTATCATATGATTTAATCATGTATCGCAAAACAAATCATCATTATAAAACAATTATTTGAGTGTTAGAGTAATAAGAGTAAAAATATCGCATACTGAAAAGGAGTAGAAAAGTTAAATAATATATAAATGCAAATTATTCACATACTTAATGTTAATATGGTTAAACTATAGTCTTCACCTTTTATCTTATTTTTTATATTCATTTTATTCTTTTTAAAATAATAATTATTTATAATTTTACGATATTATTTTAAATTAATTGATTCAAGACGTGAAAATTAAAATATTAAATTTAACTATAATTATAATATTGAAATAACGTTTGAATCTAACAGTTATAAATATGATAAAAATCATATGAAAATAATATCCAACAAAAAATTAGAAAATAATATGAAATTTATTTTTTTAAAAAAAATCAATTGTTTCTTAGACTTATTTTTAGGTGACTTTTATCATATTTATGACACATTTGTTTTTGGCTTGAATTACATCTGTATACGATAGTTTTTATGTAATTAAATCTAATAGACGAATATAAGTTTTAAATTAGTTAAAAAATAATTTAAAATTGTTATTTTTAGGTGACTTTTATCATATTAATGACACATTTTTTTTTGCTTGAATTACATTTGTATACGATAGTTTTTATGTAATTAAATCTAATAGACGAATATAAGTTTTAAATTAGTCAAAAAATAATTTAAAATCGTATTTCAAAAGTGAAATAATTATTATTTCAAAAAGATCAAATTAATTTAAAATAAAATAATAATAATATCAATTTAAAAAATAAATGTTTAGAATAATTTTTTAAAATAAAATAAATGATGAAAAATATAATTTAACACATTAATATCTTATTTAAATTATACGTGACATTTTAAATGATAATGTAAACAATTTTAAATTTTCAAAAATACTGCTTATGAACACTAATTATAATAGTAGGAATTGTAATACTTTCTCGATTTAAGGGGTATTTAGAAATCTGTTTATTTGAATACTTTCTATATAAAAAGTAATAAGACAATTGAATAATAATAAAAAAAAAAAAACAACGTGATTGGAACATAAAAACTCATTAAAAGATCATCAGTCAGTTTTTTATTTATTTATTATTATTTATTTATAAAAACTAATTACAAAAAATTGATAAATATATTATTTCTTACCAAACAATACTGAATTAGGTTTGGAAATGAAACTTAAATATCAATCTTGAGTGGATGTTAAAAAAGAAACGACTTAAAACTGTTTTTTTATTTAAATTTAAGTTAAGTTTATTTTTAGGGGGTGTATTGGTTTAGAATTTTGTAGGATTTTAAAAGACTTTTTTTTGAGTAAAAAAGTCCATTGGTATTCAATCAGGATTTTATGTCACTTAAAAACAATCCCGTGTATTCAATTTGGATTTTCAAGATTTTTTAAAGAGTCCATTAAAATTCATTGGTATTCATTTGAGATTTTTTGCAACTTAAAAATAATTTATTGGTATTAAAAAATATAAGAATTTTAAAGGATTGTTGTGTTAGAGGGATTTTGAAGGACTTTCTAGTGTTATCTATAAATACCAAATTCATAAAATAATCTCATCCAAACCCATCGAATTTTGGAGGATTGTTTGAAGTGACTTTTCAGGTGCTTCAAGAATTTCTAAGTAAGTTTTTCATTCTTTTTTTTCTATACTCTCGTCTTCTCCATTTTTTATTTGCTAATAATACTGCACTACTGTTCACTGCTCATATATAATATTGTAGTATTGTTCTCATTCCATTCCCCTATTTTGTGAAACTCTGATATGTAAATGACAGTGTCATTGACTTGCTCAATTTTATTCTATTTAGTTGAATTTGTTTCTTTATATAACACAAAAAATGCTTAAAATTTCAAATTTTAAGTGTTAATTTTTTTTATAACACACGTCAAGAAAAGGGAAAGGTGAAAGATGAAATTGATATCATGATCTCTACAATATATATATATATATATATAAGATGAATTTGAGTTAAGGTTTATATGAGTAGAATGAGATGAAAATTGATCTTAGTTGGAGAATGAACCTCTCTGTATAAAAACTACAATCTCTCTCCTTCCCTTGAGTTTGTTGTTACTCTTATCTCTCCTCCTTTTATAACTCAACAATTATTTTATTTTTTTTACTATGAATTTTTGTTTTAATTGTTATATTGTGAAATTAGGATTTTATTATATTTTAAAAAAATAAAATTAACATAAGACATTGCAGTATCTAATTTTTTAGGATTTAGAGTTTATTCCTCCATTAACTTATTTTAAAAAAAGAAATATTGTTAAAATATTTGTTAGAATAATTTACATTTATAAATATTGTTAAAAAAATATCATATAATATATAACTAAAATACTAATATATATATATATATACATATATATAAATATTTTTTATATTTTCTCATATATATATATATATATATATATTCTCTGTATCTAAATACTTCTGTTTACATTAAAAAAATTATATATCTAAATATTTTTTCAGTATCGAATATACTAATTTTTTAAATATAAATAGTTATCTTATGTTTCTATATTTCCGTCTTTACATGTTTTTTTTTATAATGGCTGAGGTATTTTATCCATTTGGATAGCCAAGATATATCCGATCTTGCATGATTGATGTGCTTCTAAAAATAATAATATAATTTTATTGATTTTGTCTCTTATGCATAATTATTTATATAACTAGTTTACAACATATATTGTTTTAGTAATTCAAATAGGAGATTCACAAGGAAATAATAAAGGAAACGGAAAAGAGAAAGAAAACTATGAAGCTTGGACCAAGGAAGATTCTGATGAATTGTTACGACTGATAGTGGATGCTATAAAAAAGTGGACTGGGTGATGCTAATGGATCAATTAGCAAACTAAATGTGGAGAAAATCATCCTTCCTCGTCTTAATGCTAAAATTAAATTCCCTAAAATGTATAATCATTACTTGAGTCGAATGAAGTGGTTTAAGAAATAATATAACAATATGTCAACACTTATGCG